AACCTCGACGACGCATCCATAGAATGTAACTGGTTTCATCTATGAAGCATGGAAAACGGGAAGGGTTCCCGAGGAATGGAAGCTAGCTGACACCGCACCAATTCCCAAGCCAGGAAAGTCTCCTAGCATTGAGAATTTCCGCCCCATCTTCCTCACGTCGTGCGTGGGTAAGGTGGCAGAGCACGCGATTTGTAACAGACTTAACGACTACCTGGAGGGAAATGAGATTTATACGCACAATATGATCGGGTTTCGTACCGGCCTTTCAACACAGGATGCCATGCTGCTCATTAAGCACCAAGTCCTTGAAGGATACTCTAGAGATACAAAGGCTCTTCTTGGCCTAGACCTAGAGAAGGCCTTTGACAACATCAAGCACGAATTCATCTTGGAGACTGTGGCGAAACTAGAGCTTGGGCCCAGACTGTACAACTACATCAAGTCTTTCTTGTGTGGAAGAAAAGCGAGGCTGCGCATCGGGAACTACTTCTCTCAGGATGTACCACTCAGACATCGAGGCACGCCCCAGGGGTCTGCGATTTCTTCGGTGCTGTTCAATCTCTGCATGATCGGACTGTTAAAAAGACTGGCTAGCGTGGACGGCATCAAGCATACCATCTACGCCGAGGACACCACAATCTGGTGCGTTGGCGGCAGGGAAGGCCGGGTGCAAGATGCCCTTCAAGAAGCAGTCGCCGAGGTGGAATCATACTTGCGCCAAGCGGGACTCAGATGCTAACCCGCCAAGTCGGAGCTCCTGCTCTATAGAAAAGAACGAGGTGGCCGACCTAAGGGATGGAAACCCGTTGAAGAAAGCGATATACACATTTACACGAGTGACGGGGAGGAAATCCCAAAGGTACACCATCCGGATCCTCGGCATGTTTATTGAAGCGAAGGGTGGCAAGGGGACCGCTCTGTGGAAGATTTTCGCCAAGACTGGCAACGCTTTTCGACTCGTCAAAAGAGTCTCCGTGAGACATAGAGGCCTTAAGGAAGACAATTTGTTAAGGCTTATCAATGCGTTTGTGCTCTGCCACTTTACCTACACCGTTGCCATGCACAACTGGCTTAGGTCGGAGTGGGACAAGCTCAACGTGATTATCAGAAAAATTGTCAAGAAAGTACTGGGGCTTCGTGTACGCACACACACCGAGAACTTGCGCTTGGTGAACGCAGCTCTGCTGCCGAGATAGTGGAAGCGCAGCAACGCTCGCAGCTGACTCGCTTGTCCACTACGATGGCTGGTCGGTGCATACTTGGCGAGCTAGGTTTTAACCCTATGGAGCTGGAAACGAATAGCGTGCGTATATCAAAACATACAGGAAAACATCATTACCCAATACCCCGCAACACTCACCCTGTACACAATAAGAGACATCATCAGGCAAGGGCGACGGCTGTACTGAAACAACTGGGAAAAGGTGACACAAATGCAAGTTTCGTTGACGCTGCAGCATATCGAGACGGCAAAAAGTTCGCAGCGGTGGTCATGGACCAGACGGGCTCCACTACGAACTGCGCCACGGTACGCACAACGAACCCCCAGGTGGCTGAACAAGTGGCCATTGCACTCGCTCTGCTAAATGGTCGGTGTGAAGAGGTGTACTGCGACTCCAAATCTGCAGGCAGAGCCTTTCAAAAGGGCCGCATATGAACACAGGAAGCCAGGATCTTGAACAGCTCCACCAGTGATACGATTGCCCCTCACACCATACATTGGTTTTCTGCACATGTGGGATCCGTAAACGGCGTTGCACTGAACCCGAACGAGTCGGCCCACACAGCAGCGCGCGCGCTCACTGACCGCGCTGCTCTCGACCTGGGCGACGGCTCCAGTGCAGACGACGTAACATAAAGACACACCTACTACACACGAGACTAACAAGTATTACTACAAGGCGAGGTGGGCATTCCCAATGCCACATTCAAAACTCAATAGAGCACAGGCAGTCTCGTTGCGCTTACTTCAAACCCATTCGTACCCGTCGTTAGCATACCTAAATGAAATTTATCCTCACAAATTCCCCGATGCCGCCTGCGCCGCTTGCGGGCAGACCGCTACATTAGCACACATGCTGTGGGAGTGCGGGTTGCTTGGACCGACTTATAGCAAAGCCGAGTGGGATGCGCTTCTGCACAGCCCAGAACTTAAAAGCGAATCCTGGCCGTCCAGTGTGCCCGCGACAGGGCCGTCAGGCTAGACCTGCGGGTCCCCACGTGGGAGTAGCCGGGTGACGCGTGGCAACGCAGCCTCTGAACTGGACCATATTAAAGTTGTTCTCACTCACTCACTCGTCACAAGGCAGGGGGCATGGCCTCCGAGATTACGTGCTGACAGGGGGCTCCCAATTGAAAAGATAGCGACGTTCCAGGCATAGTTTTTCTAGGAGGCGTTGGTTACTGTTACGGTATTTAGCTAGCAGAGAATTTGAGTCTGTCCGACGAATTTCAAGGGCCGGTTTACCCGGTGTGAACTGCACAAATAGAAGGGGTACCCACTGACAAATGATGTTATTTAAATTCGTGTACAAAGATTCTACCTTATGGGCGTTTACCGGACACGCTCAAACGCCCGACATGCGATCCAGTTACTTCCAAGGCTGCTATTAGAAGATTTTAGTCTGTCCCTCCAGTACGCCTTTGCCACGCTGTGCACACGCTGTGCACGTCATCGCGGTTAGCTGCGCATTCGCCGCAGCTTAGCTTGCTCTAGTTGGCGCGACGGCAGCGCTACTTCGTCACAGCGCGCAACTCTTCACCTTGAGTGGTACTGTGAGCACTAATTACACTACGTACTACAAACCAGGGGCGCCAGCGGCAAATTTTTTGCGGGGTGAGCAACAATGCGATGCGATGCAATTGCAGCAACACTTTGCTGGAATCGCGCACATTCCAGCCAGCAGCACAACAAACGATGGAGAAATAATGTTTTTTTTTTTTTTGCAGCTCACTAAAAAGAGGATGCATTGCCACAAGGTTCAACATGCCACTGCCAGTCAGGTTTGGATATTGATCACAGGTATGCTTTCGAATAATCAATCAGTTCAATCAATCAGTATATTATTTGCAACAAAAATGTAGTACAGTGGGTTATGTTTATATAGTTAAGACCCAAAACTCTGGAAGAGTAGCGGAAGGGGTTCTCATGACAAATAATGTTATTTAAATTCGTGTACAAGGATTCTATATATAGGTGTATACCTAAATAGGATTCTATATATAGGTGTAGGTATATTTTACAATGTGCAGAATGAAAATGTAAACCATGCAGTAAAAAATATTTCTAAATATCCATGTAAAAAATATCCTATATGTACGTGTATGCAAAACCAAAGAAATAGCTAAACAGTGAGTGAAAAGAAACTATGCGCAATGTAAAAGAAAATCACAAAAGCAAAAGAAAAACAACATATGTATCAAACATTTATACAACATTTATTATATAACTCTTATAACAAAACATTTATATAAACTTGTCACCTCAAGCACAACTTAATAGGATGGCCTTGTTCCACAAGAGCCTGTACAAATGAATTCTAGAATGTTTTGCAGCTAGATTTGCTAGTTAGCACAAATACTAGAATGGGACCTTCAATGTTCACACCTGAAGACTAAAGAAAAGCTCTGGTGGCACCAATAAACAAGATTTCATCGTCAGTACAAAAAATAAACTTCACCCGTACAAGCCAGTCAGAATGTGGTAGTATTGGAGAAAAAAGGAAATGCTTGCAACAAGCAGAGCCTTTTTCTTGACAAAAAAAAAATCTCAACTGTCTTGGACCAACAAGTACAACGGAGGCATTACTTTTGCAGTGATAGATGTCACCAATCTCATTGAACGCTTTAAATATCCTACACTGTGACTGCAATTTAATGGCAAGCAGCTAAATGTCACACCGTGGTGTATGGTGTGTTCTAAGAGAGTCTGCAAGCGCGAGACTGTTTGTTTTTATGTGCACCCGGCTTTCGCTCGATAACCAACCGCAATTGACCACACAATTCGGTCCTTCCCACTGCCCACTTTTATCAAAAACTAGAAGACTATAAGAAAGCTGCATACATGACTACCGAAATTTCAGCTTTGGCCTTTTGTTCTTGGTTTTAAACTGCATTGTGCTGGGATCACTGCACATAGAAATCGCTGAAGCCAATATCTTCAGAGGAACCTTGCAGCTCATACACCTCTTTGGGAACAAAACCAACTTAGCTCTTGAAAAACCATTCACACTCTCAGTGCCAGACGTCCAATGATATCGCATCACCATGACGACATTACATTGGTCGCCACACTGTTCTCTTCACCCTCTTGAGAGACGAGACCCTGGGTGATGTTCGGAGCACTACGATTGTCACCTCGTTAAGGAGGAAAGCGGAGAGTGTCACCGTCGTAGATCATTGCACGCCCCTGCTACTCTAGGTTTGGGATCGCTACTATTTAATAGCAGCAACAGCCTTGATTCGACACACACAAAAAGTGAATGCTTCGAGTATTCTCGAGTGGCTCAACAGGAATCCATCTTGGTGTTTGTCTGGGTGTTGGCAAGACTGGAAAAGTCTTCCAGAAAGGCACCGTGCAAAGGCCAACAGGCAGTCTTGTTTGCACAACATCAAACGAACAGGGGCAAAATTACCATAAACAGTCTGAGCCTAGGTTCTAAATACTCCTATTGAAACACCAGAACACATAAACTTGCGTTGAAAGGACAAGAGTGAACTTTGACACAGGCGTTGACATAAAACGATCTGCAACACGCTTGTCTACAGCCTATGACAAGTGCTAATGATGAGTGCTAAGCTCTCAACAAATCGATTTCCTCAATTTCAGTGACAATCAAGGAACTGCAAGCTGCACCAACATTTATTTCACTCCTCTTCAAGCCTTTTACAATGACTTGTAATCAGCGGATTTCACGAAATTGATTAGTTTAGAGCTTAGCACACACAAGACTGCAACGCACACAAAGGCCTGCAATCATGAAAAAAAAAAGAGCACTCCCACTAGATTTCACTCTACTGATGGCAAAACAACTTCAAGCAATTACACATGCCTGTTAACAACAAAATAGCAATACAACTTCATTATGTCGACCAATTGTCAAGCAATTGCAACATGGTAGAACAAACTGCACTACAACTGTGCTGGGCACAGCCGATGAAAACGAAAAAAAAAAATTATAATAATGAAGCGTATGACAGAGCTGATTAGCTCTAGTACAACAAATTCATTGGAAGTGATCTTGCAAAATAATGACAGCAAGATAGATTCTTCTAGCAGGAATAAAAAGTGCAGCCCACGTAAATAAATAATAAAAAAGGTTATAAGGAAGCATATGAGAAAGCTAATTAGCTCTAGTACAAAATGAGCTCTGGCACCTTCAAGAGAAGCAAAGTACATTGCACAGATAGCCTCGTGGCCGACATCCTTCTTATAAGCTACTTTCTACATTTCGGCTGAATGTAAAAAAAAAGAATGCACAGGTTGGGAAAACAAAAAGGTGCTTTAAAACTTCTTTACAAGTTTGATGATGCTTTTCAATGATGGAAACTGTGACCCCCTCCCCTCTCTACTTGAAAAAAAAAGGCACAATGGTGCTTGTCTAATGAAAAAAAAAAAAGAGCACTCCCACTAGATTTCACTCGACTGATGGCAAAACAATTTCAAGCAATTATGCATGCCTGTTAACAACAAAATAGCGATACAACTTCATTGTATGCCGACCCATTGCCAAGCAATTGCAACATGGTAGAACAAACTGCACTACAACTGTGCTGGGCACAGCCGATGAAAACGAAAAAAAAAAATTATAATAATGAAGCATATGAGAGAGCTAATTCGCTCTAGTACAACAAATTCATTGGAAGTGATCTCACAAAATAATGACAGCAAGATAGATTCTTGTAGCAGGAATAAAAAGTGTAGCCCACGAAAATAAATAATAAAAAAGGTTATAAGGAAGCATATGAGAAAGCTAGTACAAAATGAGCTCTGGCACCTTCAAGAGAAGCAAAGTACATTGCACAGATAGCCTCGTGGCCAACATCCTTCTTAAGCTACTTTCTACATTTCGGCTGAATGTAAAAAAAAAGAATGCACAGGTTGGGAAAACAAAAAGGTGCTTTAAAACTTCTTTACAAGTTTGATGATGCTTTTCAATGATGGAAACTGCGACCACCTCCCCTCCCCTCTCTACTTGAAGAAAAAAAAAAAAAGGCACAATGGTGTTTGTCTAGGAGACTTGCTTGCTTGGCACAAACTTGGCGGCTCGGCAAGCTCCTCTGGTCCACTACTGTGCGGTTGTTCACACACCTCCTGAAACACTACAAGAAGTGGAAATTCTTCAACACACCTGTGAGCTAGGTCGTCACAGAACCTGCAGAGTTTGTTACGAAATCGGACTGGGCTTAGTATTGATCGGACCAGTACATATTGAACTCTTCCAAACTTTTTTGAGCATTTCTTTGGGCGTCTATACTCGGATTTCAACGCAATCAAGCGGTATCTGTTAGCACATATGAGCATACCATACGTTTCTCTTTGTACCACGTCCACTGTTCTGCTGTATGCCTTGTAAGGGGGGCCCGAATCCCCGTCATGTGAACGGCGTTTCACTTTTTGTTCGGCCCTACTTCATTTTTTTTTTTTGGTGTATGGCAAAGAGATGAAAAAAAAGATGAATTGAATTGAACTATTAAACCCGTGTGCACTAAGTGATGAGTAGCGCCAGACGTTGAGTGCGTGATGAATCAACATAACTGCGGCTTGCGAACAAAATATAGCGCAAGGCGTTGCCAGCGACGGGAATCTGAACTAGTATTGGCAAGCCAGTGGGAAGGAATGGGCAGTGTTTTGTGAATCGGGCAATCCCTTTGTTTTCGCTTCTTTGCCACAGGTGGGAAGATGTTCAATATGTAACACTAAGACAGTCTCGGAACCGTGCGTTGACGATCATCATTACGATATGTGTGGATTAAAGGTGGAATAAGGCAGGCATGCCGTCGATCCCAAGCCGGCTGCCCGTTTAATGGTGGGAACACAGCCTTTTCCGACTTCTCTAAAAGGTTTGGGCACAGAAGTCTGCCGAGCTCACATCAGGGTCGCATCAGGACAGCACCGACATTGAGCTGGCAGATCTCTTCCTGTTGACAAAAGAAGCCAGAAAGACCACCGTTTCAATAGTGTTCCCACCATCCAACGGGCCGTTATGGTCTCAAAGACATCACGACAGCAGACTTTCAAGTAACCTTTGCAGAGTGGTAAATCATACTGCGACCGTTGTATAGGCACCCAAAAAAACATTTATGAAAAATTTAAATACCAATCTGACCAATAAATTCTGTTAACCAGACCCAGTCTTGTTACTTCACGAATGGACCGTGAGTGGTAAATCCCAGGTGCACCCCAAATTTAGCCGCCATTTGCCTCCTTCGGCTGCTAGGAAAGACGGGTTCCGACAGGTAAGACGTGACAGCGTTTTCGAGCTACCAGTTTCAACTAAGTAGTAAAACTTGTTGTTACCACTACATTCAAAGCGCATGAGCTAAAGCCTTTGCTGTTCAATTATTGCAGGATCACAAAGAAGTCAAAATTTCATAAATACAGAACATATCTTCATTCACAAGAAGGCAAGTGGTAATGTCCAACTCCATTTGCATTATATTAAGGCAAGGCACTCATCTTCTGGACCAAACATCATCGTAGATTTCTTTTTTTTAGTACAATAATGTCCAAGAGTATCTATAGCCTCAATACAGTAGACTATCAGTAAATGGAAAATGGTCAAACGGAACAACTGCTTAAACGAAACTATTGCTTGAGCAATGCTTGATTTCGAGCTTGTATTCGACACCCACGTTCACTCTCAGAAAATGGAACTCCTGTTAAATGAAACACACTTTCCCAGTCCCCTCAGGTCCCGTTTACAGAGAGTCTACTGTACTAACGCTTTCTGATGAGCATTTCACTACAGTGCTCTCAAGTCGGCTTCACGAACGACGCTTCACATATATGCGAGCGCATGTGTATTCAGAAGGAGATTATGTCAGTTCCGCACATTAAAAACAAAAAGCGGGAGAAGACTGTCGAGCACTTCAATATTTCGCTTCCAAAATGGCGGCACAGATTTGCATATTTTTATTGTGTATGCGTTAGCTTTATTGCATGTGGTTACGGCGTGCGGTCGCCACTTACAGACTGCACCAATCGTTCAGACCCTGCCATCATTCTGGCTTGCAGTTAAAATGATGCTGAGAACTGGCACCCGGAGATTTTTGGGCCGGCGAACTTATGACGACAAAGCAGAAAATTACCGTTGCCGGATGAGCCGTACTGCGCGACTGTAGGGGAAAAGAAACACTAGCTACTGCACTCCCTCCCCTTCGCTAGCCGTTATGAGGTTGGAAGTGCTACTGTTGACTGGGATAGTGGCTTTTCTATCAACATGCCTGTGTACCCCTGCAAGCTACTACTACTACTACTACTACTACTACTACTACTACTAACTACTACTTATAAAAATAATGACCAATGAACAAGCATATACTGCCGCTTTTACGTAACTGTACGCGAAGGCTTGAGGACATAAGCGCATCCCACTATTTTGTGATTTCTTTGATATTCAGTAAAATGTTCTGTTTGATATTAAATTCAATATTACATATTTTTAACTACAGTTCAGCCCTATTTGATTTGACTTTGATTCGAGATGAAATTTCACAATTCCCACACTCTTAAAAAATTGCACAAAATTTATTGAAACTTTTTTCTCAATTCTCAGAGCGTTTTCTTTGTGTGTGCGTGAATAAAGCGGTACCATTACTCCATTCAATGGGGTTCCCTCATTTTACTAAATAAGCAAAAGAGGCGGCGTCGCATTGGTCGGCAATGCGTATGGAGTTCACTCAGACTCATTCATGAAATATGCTTTGCGCTTAGGAATCGCCCGGACTCGCCCCCACCAAAATTTTTACAAGCTGAACTCACTCGTACTCACACTCGCGAAAATTTTCTTTGATTGGACTAACAAAGAGTCTCGGCTCAATCTAAGCCTGAGCGAGTCGACTCACGAGTCCGTTAGCCTAGCATTATGCTTTTTCACCGTGACTTCAATTCTCTACAAACACCACTATCTCACACAATCAATGCTATTTTAGACACCCTTAGAATAGAGTAGCTTCGAATATGTCTTTACGAGTGCTCATAAACCAGGAAAGACATCTTTTTATGAAAGATATGACAACATAAGACAGGAAGAGGGGGGTATAGGGCCCATGTGATTCGCGCCTCTGACAATAAATATTGAAATGGTGTATGAAAGACACTGCTTTGGGAATACATGAGTAGGCGTGAGCCTAAGTGTGAATCCATATTGGGCTGATAGTAATGCTGAAGAAGAGCAGATATGACCACGGGTCGGCAAAGAAAAAATGGAACTCACAGAGAATAAGAAACATATCTTGTGCTTTGGACTCGCTCAGACTCTCCAAAATTATCCCGAGCCTAACTCGCTCAGACTTGCACTCGCAAAACTTTTCTTCAACTGGACTCGCTCGGACTCGAACTCGCCGGAATATTACTTACCCAGACTCGCTCAAACTCAGACTCGCGGCTCGATCCGAGACTGAGTGAGTCGACTCACGAGAGTTCGCCGACCTATGCAGCTCCGAGATGGTCTCGTCAAATGGCAATGCAATAAAAAGACTGCAATACAATGAAAGCTGGGACATACGATGCAACGTGGACAGGTGTGCCTAATGAGGGTCAAGAAACACAAATAAAGGAGTGTAGCCTTTGTTGGTTCCATGTTCAATTTTTCTTGATGAGCAGTTTACAGTTGAACCCCTTTATATGAGACATGCTTTGGGCAGTGATTCTCGTCTTTTACATGACATGTATCTTATAAACAGAGAGCCATATATCCTTTTAACTGTAGGTGTCTATTCATTTGTCTCTTACATCAGTGTCTCTTATAAAGGGGTGTAGTTGTCATTGGTCATTTCGACACGGCATCTCATGGCAACTTACCTCGTCAATGGCGGGGAAAAAGCTAAAAGCCCTGCAAGAACACTGAAATAAGAGTATTGCTTGTTCATTTAGCTACTGACCCGACGAACTGTGCGACAGAAGACTAGACGTGGCGTTCACAATCCTCGGCCACATTTCGCAGCGCAGGTACGTCTCCTCGGGACCGTTCTCCTCCCACTGCTCCATAGAGATGTGCAAGTCGATGACATAGTCAATCATCCGCCGCCACCGCCAGATGAGATCAGCATCTCGCTCGGAGCAACGGAACACGAGCAGTGGTTGTTCGTCGACGACCAAGCAACCTTGGTCAGAGCCCCTGGGTGCTTTGGCGTGTGAGTCGAAGAGGTAACCCTGCGCCCAAACGGGACGATTTGTGGATGAAAAGTTCTGCTGACAGATAGATTCATGCCGCACTACGACGGCACAGTTGGAGCAGCTGACAGGCTCCGCGGTGAGTGCTCGACTATCGCATGAAGCTGCTTGTTCCGCGATCGCAACACATCCCTTGCTGGTACTTGGAAGTGCATACACAAGCAAATGCAAGGGAGAAACCGACAGGACAAGTGCTCACTCCAGACAAATCATTCTCATTTTGTGCAGTCGTGCGTTTCAATGAGAGCGAGTGTTTTGCATAAATCTGGCAAGTAGACCAGATGTATGCAAAGTAGGCCAGATGTTCCTCGATGGCCTCGAGTTCTTGTGGTAATAGGAGACAGCAGGGAAAAGCGAACAGTGAGAGTAAGTGACTGCACGCAAGGTATTCTAGGAAACTCTGCATATGGGCACCAAAAGTGGTTTGTTCCAGTGGAGAGAACTGTGTTCAGAAGAACAAGGAACGAACACATGCATGAGTTTGTAAGAATCTATGATGGCACTTAGACATGCAAGGAGAACAAAAACACCCACTTCAGACCAACCGTTCTTTTTTGTGTGTGTTTTTCGCACTTTCAAGCACCACGTAGGCATGTAAAAATAGTGAATTTAAGTACCACATAGGTATTCATAAACAGGCTTGTGCGAATAGTGAACTTTAGGTAGAAAGTGAATAGTGATTTGGTCAAATAATTTGGAAATAGTATATTTCCCATATTGTAAAAAAAAAACTGGGCATATCTGTCTTGACCCAGGTAATCTGCAAAATATTTTTGAAGATTGAAACAAGGCCTGTGCAAATGCCATTCTTTTTGATTCAGAGGGTGTGGAAACAACCGTGAACAGTAGCAGGATTCGACTTTTGGTATAATTGAAGCAATGGCCCATAAAACCTGTTACGTTTTAAAATTTACCAAACTTGGAGCACATGAGACGGTATAACAAGCTTTTAAACTTGAGAAACGATGAATCAATGCAAGGGTAATACAGTTGAACCCCTTCATAAAAGACATACACAAAGAAGCAATTCTTGTCTTACATATCGGCATCTCTTACAAGCAGGGTACCACGTTTGCATTTTCTTGTTAACTCCTGTCACAATGTCGGCAGACTGGCGTCTCTTACACCCAATTGTCTGTTATAACGGTGTGTCTAATAAAGGGGTTTGGATGTACGTTCACTTTACCTTGAAGTGAGGCTTTGCGGCACTGCATGTTCTTTTTTCTGTATAGGTGTACTTACAGCACATAACTCCTTCATTGCAGTGAAACCCTCTTTACAAGGGGTTACATGCAACTAGTAATACACCTCTCCGTTCATTTCGAATACTTCGAAAATTCGAAATCTGAGCGAATTTTAATACTGTAATATTTGTTCCAATATTCACACAAGCCTAACTACAAACTCTCTTAAGTATCTATTCTTTAGAACACAATCTCCTCAAAGAACAAACAAAGTGAATGTGGAATCGCCCAGGATGCCTCGGTTTTTGCCTTCCCTGAATACCACGGGAACTTCCGACTGACCCCGACATCTTCAAATAGATAAATGTCTGAAGCAAAATTTGTCACATGGAGTTCCATTCTGCTCTCCCGATTCCTGCTCTACGGAGAGCACCTTTTTTTAATTCACTCGGACTCATCGAAACACGCGAACTCACACCCCTCACTAGACTAAACTGGCAACTCTTTCTTTCTCTTTGCGTGCACATAATTTAAGTGGAAGGAAAGAGGGTGCTAGTGTGTTGATGCCATGAGACAATAAGACAGCTAGGCTTGCTCATTGTGCAGGGAAATATTAAACAGCCAACACAGGATTAGGAAGGAAGCACAGGACAGAGCGCCATTAACTATGCTTCAGAGACCCACACAAATGCCATATTTTGGTGATATTACCTAGCGTTTCACAATACTACCTACTGCTTCCTGCTGAAAGAATGCGTTTTCAATATCTCATACATGGATCATTTTTAAGGGAATATGACATCAGAATTCAAGAAACATATCAATACTGATGTCCGGAATGACTCAAACCTGCATGTTGATTGAGAAATAGAGATATTTACAACTGCCATCTTCTAACATATCTTGACCACCAGATGGGGCCGTCTTATGAGAGATATGCTTGGAACCAGTTGCTTCACTATAGCTTACCCAAACAAAACGGTTATAATCAGTGTATGTGAGTAAGCAAAGTCAAACATTTTATTCCTCGCAAAGCCGCGGACTGCTGGCAAGACGTCAGAGGGTCACACGCGACGCGCGTTTGTGACCTCTGCTTTAGATGATGCCAATATTGCAAGGAGTGGTGCAAGGTGCAAGAATTCTCATCCGAAGCTCAAATAAATCACTTTTCAAGCAGTCTTTGATGTCAAGATTTGGTAGATGTTACTATGTGCATGTTCATGGGAATCAATCCCGCAGGCTATCAGTGAAAAATTTTGTTTCGGTGCCTTCTTTAACAATTGCTATTGTTATGTGTAGTTAGAGACAGCCGACTGAAAAGGAAGACAGGCATGTGGTACGGGTGGACAGATTGCAAAGAGACGTACAGATTGAAGTGCTGCTTAGGCGATGGAGCCACATTTGTGTTTGAAATATAGTCTTCCTTTCTGTCGCACTATAATCACGAGGCACAAAGTACTGGTTGTGCAGCCAGATGTAACACAGGGCATATCTCGAAACAAGCTCTTGACAGCAAGAACCAGTGGCTATGCGAGGGCAAAGAAACGAGCACCGGTAAAATGGTATTCGCACAAGGTCTGTAACATCGTACATATTCCTTTAAGATACCCTCCAACCTCATTAAAGCAAAGCTTTAATGAGGTTTCATTTCATGGCAGTTACACCTGCCATGAAAACACTTCATTATATCCAAAAATTTGTTATAAGCATATATCGTATTTACTCACGTATTCCTCGCACTCGCATAATTCTCGCACCCCTTACATCGCCTAAGAAAAATACGATTTTTTTTCCCTCGAGTAATTATCGCACCCCCCGAAAACTGCCGCAGTAATGTCGTCTGCTCGTTCTAGTTACTGATGACGATAGCACACGCCATCTGGCGCCATCTCTTAAGCATCAAGCGTACTATTGCACGGAGATTCAATCCAATCTAAGCCAAGCCGAAGTGGCCAGTGCGCGTTGCGGCGTGTTTTGTATGTTGTGTCGGTAATCTTGGCACGTTATGGGGCGACACTGAAGCTACACGGCTGCTTCAAGTTGCAAGTGATAGATCATGCACTAAACAATAGCAACAGGGCCGCCGGTAGGCCCTTCGGAGCCTACGAGTTTTGTGTTCGCTACTGGTGACGGCAGCTGAAAGCCAGCAAGACAGGTTGAGCCTGCAGTGTGCCTAAAACTGGGATTGACGGTAAACTGCAGGACGATTCTGTTAAATAGCCATCAGCCCAACACTGACATCCTACGCTTACCTTTTGAGCGCTCCTGTTGAGTGACAAACGCTACTGCTACGCCCGCCATGCCCACAAGCTTTGTGTAAGGTATTCTAATTCTCAACTATATGCTTCCACTTTTTGTGTCTCAAATCAATCTAGCCTTGTGTTGAACCTCTGCTTTTATTATTGAGGTAAGTTCTAATTAGTACTTCTTAAAGCTTGCTGTAAGTTGGTGGTGTGAGAATCCCGATTTGCCGCCACTTTGTTTTCTTTTCGCTCTCTACGTTTTCGTGGAAAGTTTTCCTCGCGTAATTCTCGCACCCCCCCAATTTTGCATCGGTTTTCCGACAAAAAAAGTGCGAGAATTATGCGAGTAAATACGGTATTTGTGGTACGCTGTAAACGACAAAACTATTCTTCATCTACGTTATTATAACCAATAATTTGTTATATCCATTTTCTTTATAATATCAAGGTTCCAGTTCATACGCTATGACGTAAGGCGTGTTTGTGCGCAGCGCTTCCCGTCATCGTACGTCTACATCACGGACCTTCACAGTACAGTGAAGAGCTATCTGAGAAGCATGAAGCGATCGCTGTAGAACTGCAGCTGCCAAAAACTAAAGCTGCCCACCTCCTTTTTGTGAGTGCCCAGACCAGCGAAAAGCAGCACATGAAGAGATGTGACCATGCTGCAGTCGTACACAGTTGTCCGCTGGTACTTCGAGGGCTGCAGTGCGCTGTAGTATATCAACCACGGGTGCTCGTACACTGGAGGCACCCTGTGGAGCAGCGACTCTTCAGATATTGCGGCCAACTTCTGGTCCCTGCGTGACCCGAGCATACTCATTTTATCCAAGACTACATGATTCCCTACATCAATAACATCATTCTCAGTGACGCTCTTTAAGAAGCATGTAGTAGCGGCTCCAAGCGCAAATAATAAACATGGCTACAAAGAGAAAAATAAGTTTGTAAAACGTGCCGAGTGCGTTATTGCCTGTCGCGGCCATGTTGGGCGAATTGGTCGCTGCTTTAAAGGGGTCCTGCTACACTTCTGTTAAGTAGCCATGGAATGGATTTACTAAAAGAGTTTATTCCCTCTCAAATTCACCACCACAAAAACTTTAGAATCCATGAAGTATGAGCGAAGTTACAAAGATTTGTCGCACGCTACAATCGCATTCTCTTCTCTCGTCCAGACCAAAGCGCGTCCAGACGAAAACAGGGAAGAATGGCATGGGGGAAGAAAATACGTTACACATGCTTCAGGACCTTGAGTATTTTCTCCCTCTTTTATTTGAATGCTCAACTTTTCAGTACGACTGCGCGCACACGTGTGGACAAAGTCGCAGCTGCCCGCGACAGCCAATGGCCGATAGTAGTCTACCGAGAGCAGTCAAATCAGTTAACGACCGATAGTAGATCTGGGACTCGGTGATTTTGAGCCTGTAGCGTAATTTGTCGTGAGAAGAGAAAGCGATTTTTCTTTGACTGAGAAGTTTATGCAAATTCTCTAGAATAACTGGCAGGCATGTTTTTGGGAGCCTCGACCATCGGTCGGCAGAATTTTCTGACCATGCTCGATAGGTGTTGCAAGGCCCCTTTAGTACTTGCGAAAGAGGCTGGTGGTCTTCTAGGGATGTAAGGGATGTAGGGATGTAAGATGTGGTCTATTGTTGGGCACTCACAGAACCATTCACAGAAACAGAAATCGGCTGATAAGGGAGATAATTAAGGGGCAAGAAATTGATAAGATTGAGGAATTGTGCGGAAGCATGCCATCCAAAGATCCGACAAAAAAAAAATTATTGTCTGGGTGTGACAACGCCTCTTTCAAATCTGTCCACTCTTAGTGGCTTAGATCTTTGCATTGATATGGGCCAATTACGCGATGCTAATATGGTATTACATTAATAAATTTGTTGGAAGTAGTGCCTTCGTGTTCTTATGTGAGTGTTTTTTTTTTCTTCATCTCTATTATCTGTGCATTTTTTGTTTAAAAAAAGAGAGTGAAAAATAGAGGAGAGCGAAAACGAGGTGCCGTAAAGGAGTGCGAGTCGAGGCACTTTTCTCTCAAATAGAAACACCAGACGGTGCCTGGCAGCCCTGAAAATGTAATGCAGTACCACCCTCTGTGTTTGATGAGGAATCGCTACCATTCGGCAACTGCTGTAGTTTTGCAGTACACTTTTTAATATAGCGGGAAGGGGAATTGGGGAAAACACAATCTCTCAATGAAAATGTCCTGAGTGTAATTTTAACAAATCAATACGACTTCCATTGATTCTTCTATTATTCCCTTTGCTTTATATATTTCCGTCTTCTTTATTACTTACTTTTTTTCATATTTTTTTGTCTACTCTATTTTAAATGCGAAGCATTTCTAAGCGAACTTTGGCGACATTGAGCACATCTGTCTGTCTGTCTGTCTGTCTGTCTGTCCGTCCGTCCGTCCGTCCGTCCGTCCGTCCGTCCGTCCGTCCGTCTGTCTGTCTGTCTAATTTATCTATCTATCTAATTTATCTATCTATCTAATCTATCTATCGAATCTATCTATCGAATCTATCTATCGAATCTATCTATCGAATCTATCTATCCGCCTATGACATTTAGGTCTCCTGGCCGTTTCGATAATGATATCGATAGCAAACTTGGTATGGAATAACATGACTGTATGAGGAACATATTTTACTAGTCGTAACATGAAGATCACGACATGTATGTCATGAATGACATGATTTACATTTCATGGTCCTGAAGCTCTTGTGGTGGTTTCCTTCACATGGCATGTTGCAAAACTGGTATGGTATGGCATGATTGCATGGCAAACACAAGCGGCAGACCCTAACATGAAAATCATGGACATGCGTGCCATGTAACAATATGACTACATGCCAAGCTCATGATGCGCTCGCGACCATTTCGCTAGCGTCCCATACCAAATTTGGTATTACAGTACGTGAATGGATGACGAAGCTATGTGACTGGTGCAAACACGATAATCATGAGATGCGTGTCACGTAACAACATGACTACATGCCACGCTAATGATGCACTGGCGGCAGTTTCGCTAGCTTCGCTTATACCAAATTTGGTATCACGGGACGTGAATAGATGACAAAGGTATGATACTGGTGCAAACATGATAAACATGAAATGCGTGTCACGTAACAACATGACTACATGCTACGCTCATGATGTGCTCGCAGCCGTTTAGCTAGCTCTACATGTACCAAACTCGGTATTACGCCACGCGATCGGACGACATAGGTTAATGACACATTCAAACATGATAATCACAACATGCATGTCATGTAACAACATTACTACATGCCACACTGATGATGCGCTTGCGGCTGTTTCGCTAGCATCACGTATGCCGAATTAGGTATTACGTGATGCCAATGGATGACGAAGGTATGTGACTGGTGCAAACATGGTAATCATGCGATGCGTGTCATGTGAGAACATGACTACATGCCACAGTCAAGGTGCCAATACATTTTGACATGATGCAGTGCCCGTGCTCGCCGGCATTCATTTCGTCGCATCACGCCGGCGTTGCCACGCCAGGCGCCGGTCCTGCCATATACTCGCAGGCGCACGCCGCGCTGAGTTGCTTTGATGGATGCGCGTGCCAGCGCGTCCGGCGTCCCTTCATCACGAAAAGAGGGAGACGCAGTGTTGTCCGAGTAACGCATCAGCGCAAAATGCAGCATGTCGAATTTTGCGACGGTTGCCATCGGGCCGCGCCGACGGACGCTGGTTCGCGCTTTACGTCAGACTATACAGAGCTCGTGTTTTGCTAACGTAGCGTCGCTGTGCCCAGCGTGTGCACACGTCAACGCTACATTAGATGGAGTACATTGGGCCCTTCATGATGCGCTCGCGGCCGTTTTTCTAGAACCACATATACCAAATTTGATGTTACGTGACGTCAATGGATGAGGAAATATATGACTGGTGCAAACATGATAATCCTGACACGCGTGTCATGTGAGAACATGACAACATACCACGCTCATAGCGTGCTAGCGGCTGTTTCGCTAGCTTCACATATACTAAATTTGGTAAAATGTGACGTGAATAGATGACGAAGGTAAACGATACATCAAAACATAATAATCATGACACGAAAGTCGTGTACGGCATCATTTACTCCCACCTTGTAACGTTGTGCTGATTTTAAAGTGACATCAACATCTCATTCGTGCTTCGCATGTCATCGATTCCCACTGCACGTGAGATCTGCCCTTCTTTTTTACTTTTTTGTCTGTTTCTGTCAATCTTTCTCTCCAACTCTATTTCTTCCTCTGTCTTCCCTTCATTTTTCTTTCTTTCAACCTCTATACTTGCTCCATCACCCATCAGAGCTATTGTATTCCATGCTGAATGAATTGGCCCATGAGTTCTGGGAGCGAAGAACGCTAGTACTACAGACACTGCACACTGGTTCATGATCTTTTAGTATACGGCTGGAAGACTTGCTCCAAGCTTAAAAAGCCCCACTGTTAAAAAGCGCAGTGTTACTGAAATGCACTAGAAATGCTTCAAAACCCCTCTCCCCGACACCCTATGCACAGGTGCTTACGCCAGTGGTAGCGGGAATCCACGTTTTTGGAGCAGCCATTAGAGCAGGCAAAATCTGTTTTTGGAGCAGACACGGGCTTTCCATGACAAACACACACACACGCACACACGCACACCACACACACACGCACACAGAGAGAGAGAGAGAGAGAGGAAGATAATTTAGCTTTAATTTGCCTTATTTTCTCTCAATTTACATAATCATTTATAGACAAAAATAGCATGCCCGAAAAATAAGCCAAAATAAACGAAAGTATAATTGGTACAGAAGCGGTGACATAAGGTAGTGAAAGATAGTGAAAGCCGATATGCGAGCTTTAACATCTTAAAACCACCATATGAATATGAGAGACGCCATAGTGGCGGGCTTTGCAAATTTGGACCACCTGGGGTTCTTTAACGTGCACCCAAATCTGAGCACACAGGCCTACAACATTTCCGCCTCCATCAGAAATGCAGCCGCTGCAGCCGGGATTCGATCCCGCGGCCTGCGGGTCAGCAGCCGAGTACGTTAGCCACTCGACCACTTTGGCGGGACAGATATTGAAAGCTAGCTGCAATGAAAAATTCCTAGGAGCGCGTGCGCGCATGCACACAGAGCTTGTTACAGTAACAACTCTTTAATACTACACACATGTAGACAACCTTGCCGGGAACGCGGCAATCCCACACACAAAATGTAGTGTGCATTAACCACCGAGTACATATAAGTATGTGCAAGGTCCCTCTTCATGCGGGGGGGGGGGGGGGGGGGTAGGGGTGAAAGTTTATCGCACTGCCCCCCTCCCCCCTGTGTGCCCACCGACGACTAAATACCAATATAATTTTATATGCGCCATCACCCCTAAATAAGGAATAAATACAGTGGTCTGGAAAATACTGCTTGAAGTGCCCACCATGAAGCTTTTTTTTTTCCAATGTTCAGAAATGATTGGCATTTTTGCACGGACCACCCTATGGCGCGCGATGGCCATGGCTACACAAATGAGAACTTCGAAACTACTGCGGAGTCCGGGATACGCAGCCAGCGCAGCGGCTGAGATAACGACGAAACGGACATATTCCGCTGTCCGCGATTATTATGCATCGCGGTCAGCTACTTCGTGACAACTCACACAACCTTTTTTGAGATGCAGCACAGTTGCAGGGAGCCGATCATCTACTGGCTAGTTGTGTAGCACTTCGCCCACTTGGCGTACCACAGATGTGGCAAGAAGTCTGTTGCACTAATGTGAGAATGTGAGCTTTCTGCAAGGGATGCTCTAGCAGCCCTGGCAGTGGACAGAAGCACGCTTGGGCTGTCGTCTCATGAGAGCGTGTGCTATATTTGCTGTCTCAATACCCGCAATTTACAACACTCAGCTCCACAACAGCGAGCTGCTTTCATTTCTGCAAAGTGGTGCACGCTGAACGCTGTCCCACACAACGATTGAGGTAGCAGCGATCAGCACTTCAGCACTCTCCGTTAGTTGCCAGGAATTAAAAACATGCAGTAGGCTCAAAGCCGGGCTGCGCCACACACTTAGGCTTTTTGTCAGCGATAAGTTGCTTTACTGCACTTTACCGTAGGCGCCACATTGCTTTTGTTCTTTGCCAATGGTTACCAGAAAAGGCATCACCGCAAGTGCGCGGAAATCGGCATAATTGATCGGCTGATTCCATGCTTTTGTCGCAGTGCAAGTACAAGACAGGGACCATCACGTAATACACTCGAACCTCAATATGACGAACTTGCATATTACATGAAAATAAGTTTGTTATATCCAGAAATTTGCTGTAAAGGTTTATTCCTACCACTAAATCTATTGCGAGACTATTTTTCATTTACTTTGTTATAAACGATATTTCCTTATATCCGAATTCATTGCATCGAGGTTTGAGTGTACCAGCTCATGATGCGAGCTGTGAACATTACTTTCGGTTTCTAAGCCACCTTGTGGCGCAGTAACGGTGCAAATCAAAGAAAAAAAAAAACCTTTTGAAGCAGCATGGCGCAGTAATTTCCAGTTTGCGCATGTTTCCCGCCACTGTTATGCACATGGCACCAAAAGTTAAGTACCGATCGCACCTCACCAGGCAAGCACAACTGAAGTTAAGTGCTGAACGCACCTCCATAGGAGCACACAAATGAAGTACTGATCGCACCTCAATCGGAGCGAAAAGAAGAAGGCTAACCAACAACTGCCCTCTGTAGCACTTACAGGCAGGCAAACTCGACACCTTCACGCATGATCTGGTTATTCTTTATCTTGCCCTGCAATATTCGAAGCACATTCGGGTACAGGCCGGCTGTGAGCGCTGCCAAGACCAGCTGCCTGTCGTCGCGGCGACTGTTGAGGTTGAGGCCCCAGTGCTTCTGGGCAGGTGCCTGAGACAAGGCATCGGTATAGGCCATCACTCCTTTCAAGGTGTTCACAAGATCGTCAACCATGCCTGCATGCACATTTGACAATGGTATATGTCAAACTCGCAAGGGTGATTTAAGTATACTTTGATATGTGAATAACTACACACGTACCAAATTATGCCAATATATCGTTAGACAGTTATAATACGATTAGAGGGATGCCGTGATTTGCTGATCATGACCAATATTTCGTATAGTAGTCACAACAGGCATCTATTGCAAATATTACGCACTGTACTTAACCAAAATGCACTGTACAAACCAAAATAAACGACAGAACAAAAGGTTAACAAGAACAAAATAAAAGGCTCTTGATCAGAACAAAATAAAAGGCGACGATTGACATTCCAATGCACGCTGCTCTGCCCCATTGTCTGCATACATTTTGTGGATCCACCTGCATTCTTTTCGTGTTTGCGCTGAATGATCTGTTACTGAACTCTGCTGACTCACTCGGCTATGTGCCGTGAAATGGCCAGCCGTTTCACTTGGAATGAAAAAAAAAAAAAAACAATAAGACATTGAGAACAGCACAAAAAAATCTACAGTGGCCAAGAGATTAAACATTAGGGATGCGACCATGTCTATGACTTGGTAAAAAATGTGACTAAATACAGCAGCAGTTGCGGATGCAAACTGAATCGTTCTCAAAGACCAATACGCGCAGTGAGATACGAAGATGCCGACATCCTGCTTCGTTGGTTTGACAAGCTCAAAAATCACTCGTGATGCGACTCGTCAGCTCGTCACAGCCGCTGCATCAGCCATTGGCTGATTTGAACATAGCATGCTCGGTCGTCACTGGGGCTGCCGCGAGAGGCATATTCGAAAAAAAAGAAAAAGAGGTGCTCAAGGTCATGAGGTGCGTGCGATTTATTTTCTTTCGCCATACCATTCTTCCCTGCTAGGCTTCCAGCACCTTTGTCAGAACGAGAAGAAAATGCAATTGCAGTGTGTGACAAATCTTCGCAACTCCGCTTGTACTAGGATTCTGAAAATTTTCGCGGCGGTGAATTCCTAAGGCAATAGGCTTCTATAACGAATCCCTCTATGGCTACTTGAAAAAGTGTTTCAGGGCCCCTTTAAATGAACATATTGCCCTCAAATCAATTCATCATTTCATTGAGCTTAAAAGCTTGTTATGACTTCTTATATGCTCTAAGCATGATAAATTTTAAAATGTTACGCATTCTATAGGCTTTGACTTGCATCCTACCAAAAGTCAAATCCTGCTACTACTCAGAGTTGTTTTGACTACACCCCGCCGCGGTGGTCTAGTGGCTAAGGTACTCGGCTGCTGACCCGCAGGTCGCACGGTTCGAATCGCGGATACGGCGGCTGCATTTCCGATGGAGGCGGAAATGTTGTAGGCCAGTGTGCTCAGATTTGGGTGCACGTTAAAAAAAAGGCCAGGTGGTCGAAATTTCCGGAGCCCTCCACTACGGCATCTCTCATAATAATATGGTGGTGGCTCTGGGATGTTAAACCCCACATATCAATTAATGTTTTGACTTCCTTAGAACGAAAAAAAAGGGCATTTGCATAGAGGCCTTACTTCAATATAAAACAATATTGTGCAGGAAAGTTAGGTCATGATAAATATGCCAATTTTTCTTTGTATGTCGTGTATACTGTTCGAATACGATTCGAAATTATTCAACCAAGATTACTATTCACTTCGGACCTAAACTTCAGCTATTTGCACAAGCCTGATTTGAAATGCTACACTGATACACATTAGGTGTCCACTGTTCTTTCATAGTGCCATGCATATATGCTTTCAATCAGTCAACCAACCAACCAACCAATCAATCAATCAAAGTTTTATTTCCGAAGTGCCTAATACAGTGCATAGTAAACACGAAAATAGAGGACTAGAGAAGAAAGCTTTTTTATCTGGCCGTCTATTTTCAGCAGCTAAGGGTCTACACTTTACAGGGGAATAGGGCTCTCAAAGACAAAGTTGCATGGAAACATTTTAAAGACATTGCAAATTTTAGAAATTCTTTACCTGCCCAAACCATTACGGTAGTTGGTGGGATAAACCATCAGTACTGTTCAGAAAACTATAGCACACTGCTGATAATCCTACCTTCGCCGATGTCCAGGCCGTTAAAGCTCAGTTCGTTGCGCTGACAGAACGACTGCCGTTCTGCTCCAGGTACGAAATCTCTCCAGTGCGAGAAAATTTGCCATAAGGCAATGTGGTCACTCGCTGCTTCGGCATCGTAGCAGCGCTTGATCTGAAAAAACGCCAGAATAATAATGCCAACATGCTCGGGAACGACACTTGTCTGCCTAAGCTAGCACTTCAGACCCGACGATACCAAACACGTAGAGAGTTTCAAACAAGAAAGAAGGAAAGAAAATGACATGACAAAAGTAGCCACATGTTTTCAATACAGCAAATGCTCAAGCAAGCGAAGGTCCTTTAAACAGAACTGCTGCTTAAATGAAACTAGTGTCTCTCATATGGTTGGTTTTGTACTCTCATACCGCACCCTTGTTCATCTCTTAGTAAATGGAACTCCTGATAAGCGTTGAACAATAAAAGTGTACTGTACATGCAGTGCTCATGATAAGTATCAGTTTCTGTTGTCTGTAACATACAAGATCTGTGGTGTAAAAATGACATTAGAACAATCAGCGCCTCCTCTATTTTTTTTTCAATGCCAGCCAGATGCACCCGATCTAGCCATTCACCACCCTCTCTACTCTAGCTCTCTCTCCTGCTCTCGCTCATTGCCTAGCCTTTCCGTGTGCTTTGCGGTCATGAGGCAGAGGACCCCTTATGTAGTGCCTCACGACGGTGATTCTCTTTTTGTGTGCAGGTCCGCGGGGCGGCATCTTGCATTCCTCGTGTTCACACTGCTGGCAGTCACGCTAGTTCTGTAAGAGTTACGGTGTTCTGAGATAGCGTGATGATGATGATGATGTTTGATGTTTTGTGGCGCAAGGGCCATTTCATGGCCAAAGAGCGCCAGTTCATCTTACTAAAGATATGGACAATGATAAGCGGGACAGTGATAAGCGGCTGTATAAGGGCCATAAAATTCCTCGCGGTAAGGCGGGTAAAAACATACAAGTAATAAAATCATGACCATGCCGTGAAAGGTGTGTGTGGTGTGAATAGTTGACAAAAGTTGGTGATAATAGAAAAACGATGGTGGACATGTATGGCATGAGCACAAGTGCCTCACTCGTTCATGCCCTTGTGTCCAAGGGCCGTGAGGCAAGTGCTTTGTTGAGTGTAGCCACCGTAGCGAAAACCTCTCTAGAGAGGTCGTGCTACGGAATGCCCGGGTATATGATATGAAAACTACTAATTTCTTTTAAAACGCTAACAATGATTTACGACTAAAAAGTGGTCCCCTAGCAACGAACATTGCAGGGTGTAAAGGTATATGTTGTCGGTAGGAAAAATGGAAAGTGTTGTTTTTTTAGAGTTTCTAACTGTTTGCGCTGGATTAAAATGTGAAGAACTGTTAGGGCTTCACGGCATCTGTCACACAATGGTGGATCGCCACCGGACAAAAGATATGTGTGTGTCGTGTATGTGTGTCCTATCCTGAGCCTCGTTAGTATTACCTCTGTATGACGTGATTTTGATACTGGCGGCCAATGGCCAAGGTGTGGCTTATAATGTGTAGTTTGTTTTGTGTGTGTCTATCCCACTTTCTCTGCCAGTAGTCCCTGAGAATTCCTTTGAGAGACGGCTTCAGATCAAGGGCTGGGATTGATATGGGTGTAGTGGCAGTGCTTTTGTGAACGGATGCAGCAAGCTGATCCGCCATCACGTTGCCTTGGATCTCACGGTGCCCTGGCACCCAGCACACTACAACATGTTTGAGTGTGTAGAGAGTGCATAAAATGGAGTAAAGTGAGACGAGAACAGGGTTTTTTCTTCTTTAAGGGTTTGCAGAGCTGTTACCACACTAAGGGAGTCCATATAAATTACAGCTATTTGTATTTGTAATTGTTTGATGTGTTTAGCCGCCACAAGTATCGCCTAAGCTTCCGCTGTGAAGATACTTGTGCCTGGATGTAGAGGGCCAGCATCTGAAAAGGATGAGCCGACAGCAGCGTAGGACACAGAGGAGTTAGACTTGGAGGCATCTGTAAAGAACTCAGGACGTGTGTTTGTGTTGAAGTTCCAGGAAGTATGTTCGAATATGGGCAATAGATAGGTGCATGTTTTGTAACTTCTAGGAAAGACACATCGCAGTCTATAGTCTGCCACTGCCACGGTGGCGAGTTCAAGTGACACTCCAGTTTCCTCAGCTAGACCCTTCAGGCGAACTGAGAAGGGCTGCCTCATCGAAGGCCTGTTTTGAAACAGAATGGAGCTCGACAAATCATTAATAGTATTAATAGCATTAATAGTATGAGGGGTGCTTCTTGTCTGCTTTCACCTTAAGGAAATATACAAAGGACATGCAAGTTTTCTGCAGATGAAGCGACCACTCCTTCGACTCAACGTAAAGGCTTTCTATGGGGCTGGTGCGAAAAGCACCCATAAAAAAGGCGGATGCCCAAGTGGTGCACGGGGTCCAGCACCTTCAAAGCACTTTGAGTCACAGACTGATAAACAACGGCCCCATAATCTAGGCGGGTGCTAATGAGGCTTCTATACAGATTCGTGAGACATTGCCTGTCACTACCCCACGTAGTACGTGACAACACTTTTAAAACATTCATGGCTTTTAAACATTTTTTTTTTTAAATACTTGAGGTGCGTTACGAAGGTCAACTTGTTGTCCAAGATTAAGCCTAAGAATTTATGTTCCGCATTAACAGACAGAGGTTGACTGTTCAGTTCACGGTCGGGTTCTCAGTGCATGCCTCTCTTTCGGGAGAACAAGACACACGTGCTTTTTTGTGGGTTCAGCCGGAATCCGTTTTTCTGTGCCCATTTGGAGACCTTGTAACTGAACCTGCCGCTCACAGATTGCTAGATTGCAAGATCTAAAGCCAAGCTGGACGTCATCGACATATGTACAATAAAACATATTGCGAGGGATGGACAAGCGCAAGGAATTCATTTTGATGAGAAAAAGTGTGCAGCTAAGTACACCACCATGCCTGTTTCCTGGACAAATGTTTGGGAAAGAACGCTGCCCACTCGGACATGGAATGTCCGGTTTGACAGGTAACTTTCGATTATGTGAAACATCCTTTCGCGCACGCCAAGGTGAGACAGGTCTCTTAGTATTCCAAAGCACCATGTTGTATCGTAAGCCTTTTCGATATCGAAGAACACAGAGAGAAAATATTGTTTATGGACGAAAGCGTCTCTGATCTGTGCCTCAATACGAACAAGGTGGTCTGTGGTCTACTCTCTCGAAACCGGCACTGAAATGGGTCGAGCAAATTGTTTGTTTCAAGGAAATGTACAAGTCGGCAGTTTATCATTTTTTCGAAGACTTTGCACAAGAAGCTTGTAAGTGCAATAGGCCTATAACTCGAAGGTGAAGAAGGGTCCTTGCCCTCTTTCAAAATGGGAATAATAATAGCCTCTTTCCAGGAGGTAGGGATAGCGCCAGAAAACCAGATAGCATTGTACAAACAAAGTAAGGTTTTTTGTGTTTCGATTGGTAGGTTTTTTTAACATTTCATACACCACACGGTCAGAACCTGGGGCAGAAGTACTGCAGGAATTTAGAGATGTTTGGAGCTCAGCTAAACTGAAAACTTGGTTATATGCTTATATGCCTCGTATCTAGTGCATTTGTGTACGAGTTTCTGCTTTTCCATTCTTGTTCTGTATTTTTGGAAAGTGTCAGTATAGTGTGACGAGCTGGACAACCGTTCGAAGTGTGCACCGAGGAAGTTTGCCTGATCTTCCAAGGTATCACCCTGAATGTTTACGAGTGGAAGTGTGTGTACTTGTTTTCCTGCTATCCTACCGACCATGTTCCAGACTTTAGCCTCCTGTGTGTATGAATTGATCTCTGACAAAAACTTCTGCCAGCTTTCTCTTCTGGCCTGCCGACGCGTTCTCCTGCCTTGAGACTTTATTTTCTTGAAGGTGTCAAGACTTTCGGCTGTCGGTGAGTTCCGAAGCAACCTCCATGCTCTGTTTTGCTGTTTGTGCACGTTTCGGCATTCAGAGTTCCACCATGGCACACGCCGTTTTCCAGGGTGTCCATTTGTTTGTGGGATGCATTTTGTTGCAGCATCAATCAAAAACGCTGTGAAGTAGTTGACAGCAACATCGCTGCTCAAAGTACATATGTCGCTCCAACCCAGACGAGCGATGGTATAAAACTGTTCCCGGTCGGCTCTGTTTATGAGCCATTTGGGAACACGTGGTGGACACTCAGTTGCTGTAGTTGTGCTCAAAAATACGGGGAAGTGGTCACTTCCGTACAGATTACCGACGACTTTCCACTGGAGTAGAGGCACAAGAGATGAAGATACTATGCTTAGGTCTATGGAGGAATAGGTATTATTAGCGAGATTATAATAGGTTGGTTTTTTTTTCGATTTAGGAGACACGCGCTCGACGAGAGAAGGAACTGTTCAATCACTCGACCTCGCGCGTCGCAACGAGAGTCACTCAATAGCCTGCTATGCGCATTAAAGTCTCCAAGGAGAACATAAGGCTCCGGAAATTTGTCAATTAAAGAAATTCATCAATTAAAAAGTGTAAATCACGTTTTTGCAGCTGATAGCTAGGAGGAATGTAAATCGTGCAGATTGTGATCAGTTTATCAAAAAGAACCGCTCGAAGAGCCACTGCCTCAAGGGATGTTTGGAGTTGTAAGTGTGTGCATGCAATCCCTTGATTCACTATAATGGCAACACCTCCGGATGACGTCATGTCATCATCACGGTCCCTTCGCAAAATAATGCATTTACGAAGAAAGTTGGTGTGTTTTGAATTAAAGTGTGTTTCTCGTACACACAGCACTTTTGGTGAGTGTTCGTGTAGAAGCTCTTGGACGTTGTCAAGGTTTCTGAGAAGGCCCCTGACGTTCCATTTTATAATTTGAGTGTTCATGGTGAATGTAAAATAGTACTTTGTGTATGAAAAGCGAGTAGCTGTTTAGACAGGGAGTTTGAGTTCACATAACAGGACTGTCACCAGGCCCTGTTATCTGCTTTTTTTGTTTTCTTGGTGCGCTCCAAGGAGCCACGCCGCTCTTTCCGCACCAAGGGTACCGACGTATCCATTGCTTCCTCGGAGGCACTGGATGCCTGCACGTGCGAGCTGTTAGTTCGAATTTTGGGCCTCGCGTGG